AACTTAATTTCCACAAGATAACACAGTTACTTTGCTCTTCAATGCCACGTAAGTGAGTCATAGTTTCACTTACGTAATTATCGTCTCCAAACTGTTTTGTGGTAAGAAGTTTTAAAATTTTATCTAAATTTTTAGATTAAAATGACAAACAATAAATTTTATCTTCTTGCGTTTTAAAAACAAGATTATACATCTCCAAGTCTGACTTTCTGAGAGGTCAAAACCATTCCTGAAAGTCCCCCTCCGACTCTGAAGCCTGAGCGAACTCCATCTCACCCTGGATCCCTGCTCGGCAGCGTCAGCGCCTCGTGGGTCCGTGTGCACAGCCGCCTTCTGGGGGTCTTTTCTCTTGGGCTTCTCCCAGCTTTCTAAACACAGGTTTAGACATTTCCAATGTGGAAAATGGTTACGGTGGCGAGGGGTGTCTTTACTATTCTCTGGAACTATTGGTTTAATTACAAATTAAAATGTACATGTTTTATAAAATTATTACCTAATCATTGCTAAAGCATCGAGGTATTGAAATAATACTTTCTGGTTAAGCCACATATTTCTTTTTTTAGTTCCATCAAGATTATAATGATGTAGCTTTAAAAAAATTGACCCTGTCATCTATATTCCAGAGACAGAAAAGAAAACCACTCAGCCATCTAGGAGACACTTGGAGCCAGAAAATAATAAGCAGGTGTTCTTTTTGTACTTTGCTCTTTTTTGAGGGAGGGAATTCTACTGAAGACTTTTAAGCTTCATGAATCCACATTTCTCTAATATTGTTTACCCTACGGCAAGTCTTCAGAGAAAAAGGAAACGCAAAACACTGACCCGGGTGATGACGGTGTAAAAGGAAGACAGCAGATTCACTCCCTGGGTGGGAATACGGGTTACACAGGAGCCTGGAGCGGCTTCGCTAGGGAACGTTGTGGCTTCTTGCCACCGCCCAGCTGACACTCATGACAACAGACACACATGCAGAGGACACATATGAAGACAGGCATGTCTCCTGCCCACATTCTTTCAAGTTCTCCAACTCATCCTTTTAAAAACCCTCCACTACCCCGAGATGAACGTCACTCATTTCCCAGCCCGACCTCACTTTCTCCTGGAGGGCAGCCTTTCCCCGAGGGGGAGCTGACAGGGGCTGGTCTCCACAGCCTGACAAAGCCTGCGCAGCACTTCTGGGAGGCACGTTGCCCTGGAAACCCGCTGCCAGCCAACTGCTCCCCCCAGGCCACAGCCAGGGGCCTGCGGCTGCCTCTGCAGAGCACCTGTGCACCCTGCCCACTTGCAAGTGGAAGGTTCCCATCAACTCTGTATACCCCCCAACCTTCCAATACACTCCCTGCCTTGTAAGTGAGAGGCATTCTTACAAGACAAGTAGCATCAAGACACTCAATGGTTGTGACCATGGGCACCAACCCATTAGGCCTGGCTGTCTGCTCTGGAAGGTGAGCTCAGAGCAGCCTGTGAAGCTGGACAAGTGCAGAAAGCTGTCCCCACACAGCTCTCTGGCTGCCTGAGCGGCTTTCCCGTAACCATTCAGCTTGCTGATTTACATACAATTTTTTATAGAAGAGAATTAAAGACTGATACACACTCCAGAAAAGGCCAAAAGTCTCTGCATGTCATGAGCCCTGGAAATGCATCACCAGTTTTATTTTCGCCAATGACCGTGCACAATAACTGATTATCGTTTTCTAACTACGTGGATGAAAAGCCAAGTGAGCCATCAGCTGCTCCCAGCTCTTTACTGGAAGTTCGTCATCAGGGTAGAAGTAGCTGATCCCGGAAGACAGGAAAGCACAGGACACAAGGACTAACAGCTCACACAGCTGCGTGGAGGAAAATGCCACCCACAAATCCGCTTTAAAAAAGGGTTACTTCCTCACAACAAAACAGGACAATATAGCAGCCTAAGATTTTAAAAAAATATTCTATGAGAAGTAAACAAAATGTGAGATTGCAATGCTCCCGACACTCGACTTTGTAGTGATATTTAAGAAAGTGCCCATTTAGTCCTCACACCAAAATCCTTGAGGAGCGAAAAATGACAAGGCTTCCTGGCCCCCACTCACAATGGTGTGAATAAAAGGAATCAAAGCTTTCTCCTTAATAACCTGTCCCCTGCCCTCTTTATGGGGAAAATTCCCTTCAGGTCTTCAATGCATTTCAGGGAGGAACGAAAGCACTTAGCACAAAGTACAGCATGATTTTAAATGCTCAATTCTCAAAACAAGAGTTTGTCCCAACATCTCAGTGGGCACCAGGAACAGGGAATTTTAACCCAAATTCACATGATACAGAAAACAGCTTGGACACGAGTATTCAATAAAAATCAATTGTGAGTGCTGTTTTCATCAAATATGTTTGAAAAGAACTTAAAAAGAAACATGTAAGAAACAAGGACAATGAAGGATTCTCAATGAGAGCTTAGCATTCATTTCTTTCCTAAAGATATTCACCACTGAAATCAAGTCCTTGTCACCTCCACCCAGAGTCTGAGTGCAATAGCTAATTAGAAAGACTGCTCTTTCACGTAATCACCAGTGTTCAATGGCTCAGAAACACATCGTACGCACAACCATTCAACAGGATGACGACTGTCTTAGAAAGGCCGAGAAACGTGATCAAGGCAAAGGAATGAATGTGAAATAAAAAGATGTGACCAGAGGCCTGTGTGGTTTTGACTATATGATTATCCGTATCTGTTTAGAACACTAAAACTGTACCTTCTTGTCCTGTACATCCTATGGCCCCATCTTGCTTTATGCAGGAGCAACATGACATTCCACTAACTGCTCGCCAGAGAGACCATCCTGGGGAGCCCTCCGTCAGTGAACCCGGTGGATGTAAAACTTCCGGCTGGATGCCTCAACCCCCCATGCTTGCAAGGAATTTGGTCCTGTCCTAGTTCTGGCTTCATCTACCAGGTATTGGGGAAACGACAGGTGAGAGCTCAGAGATGTGATGGCGGCCAAGGTTGTGGGCAGGCTGTGAGAAACTGAGGCAAATGCGCACCCAGGTCTGCAGCTCAGCTCAGAAGCAAGGTTGTGGACGTGTGTCAAATCACGATTCTGTAAGTGCAGTGGGTGCCACCACACGCGGGGGTACGGAGCCAGGAAGGCACAGCCGACTGGAGGTGGAGTCGGAACCACAGATGAGGGAGTGACCTTGGACCCGGGCCCACACACAGGCACTCTCAACGTGGACCTCACCTTCTGCCTGATGTCTGGTTTTAGGCCATAGCCCCTTGGACCAGCTGGGAAGCACCTCATGGGCCACATGAGGTGCACTCAGGAAATGGCAACCACTTACTCTGTCTATTGTTGGTACTGAAGTTTTAATCTTTCTACAGAAATATTTTTAAAAACCTTCTTAATGTTAAATTTATATTTTTTAAATGGTAAAAATTTTATAGAAAAACGACTTTAAAATCCTTCACGTATCCCCTCGCCCTCTGCCAGTCAACTCTGGCATGATCCCTGTGCTGTATCTTAATGGCACAAGGAGCACATTTTTAGGAAAAGTACGCAAATGATTTCATTGTAACACTGAATTTCCCGGATGTGTGAACTGTTCATTTGGTGGATCATCTGTGGTAATGGTGCTATGTCACAAAGCTGTAGAGCCCCAGAAATTTTTAGGTGCAGGAACTGCGGCCCCGGAGAGGAGGGGCTCACCCAGGGTCAGATGGCCAATCTGGGCAGCGGCAAGAACCCCTGCTCACGAGCTGCCAGAAGCTCTGTCTCCCCAGAAGCTAAGTTCAACCTCCCCATTTGAACTCGGAGGTTCAGACGGGACACACACTTTAATATGTGAAGAATACCATGCAAGTAAGCCTGCTACCACAACTCTGAAGTGCCCTGTCTTCCAAGGCCGGAGAGAAAAGTCAAAAGACTGTTATTAGGGTGACAGGGCCGTCTCTTAAAAAAGAAATATTAGAGTCTAGTCAGTGATGCTGTGTTTCCTAATCAATTTTCATATGTTAGGGACTTTTAATATTGGCTCAATCAAAATCAGAAGTTGCTTCTGATACTTTAACCATTTTAGATTTCTTACCCTGTTAGTCAGGTGGTCTGGTTAATTTCACATTAACGAACACCTAGGAGCATCCGGTTTCTCATTTAAGGACACTCTTCCAGTGTGTATTTTTGGGAAGCCAAACCTTTAAATAATCAAAAGCAGAACTCTTGTGCTTTGCGGCCTGAAAGCCCTGTCATCCCTTACAATGGAGCACATCCGTGTGACAGGACAGGAACCCTAATCAGAGACAGAATCCAAGGACACTGAAAAATAAGTCATGGCACGAGCTACAAATACCTAGATGCTACACCCCCACCCCACTCACACTGGTGTGGGTGATGGGAGTTGAGGGTCATGCGCCTTCCCAGTAGTGCTCGTCCTGGGCAGAGCAAGCTCTCACAGGCCCACATCCATGCTCCCTAGTGCTGCTCAGAGGTGGAGGTGCTGCTGCAGTGACCTATGACCCCCAACCCAGGGTACTGAGCAAGAGTATCCACTACCCTCACTCACCAGTGAGCCCCAAATGAGCTGCCAAGAGGCTCCTAACATCAGAAAACCAGCTTTTAAAGTGCGGTGTGTGTAAGGTTTCAGAGAGCAGAAAGTGCAGATGACATAGACCTGCATGTCAAAGGGCACAGGCGACCAAATTTCCCCTGACCCGGCACTGACCCTATTTCGCTCCTCATTAAACAGGGCCTGACGCAAGCAAACAGGAAAGTGGGTCACCTGTAAGCACAGGATGTCAGTGTCCCCCCCACCCCAGTGGGTTTCCACTTACACAGGAATCACAGTGAATTGCCAGGGTGAGGATTGTTTCTCTCTGTAGTAAATCTAGCCAACTATAAAAATCCTTTCAGCATCTTGAAACAGCGAGCCCTGTTTTATTCCGTCACTGAGATTAACTGCTGTGATTCCCAGGTCTCCCTTATCAGCTTAATCCCGGCCATCCCCCAGCTGTCTTGCTAAATACGGGGCTGTACCTCCGAATGGCCACAGTGAGTGCCTCTGGTGAGCTGGCACAGGGACAGATGACCTCCTGGCGCAGGCCTTTACTTTGAAAGACGTTGAGAAATGCGTCACAGGAAGAAATAGACCCTGCAGTGAAAGAAGGGACAATATTCAGACAGAGGAAGTCATGTATGTCAATGATTTAAAATATCCCATAGTAGGAAATGCTTTTGAAGTTAGGATTTAGGCACAGGTGCAATTCGGGGGCATAGAAAACATACTTCACTTACTACAATTTATCATTTATGTCACAAGGAAAGATGATTTTCTCAAATTTAGAGAACTCAGGAATTTTTAAAAAAAAACACAACTTCTATGCTTAATCAGAAACATTTCCTGACTGATGAACTTTAACAACTTCTCTGAGACTGGTTTTACTATTTTCAATATGGATGTTCTAAAGTGTGGGTAAATGTAACCTTCACTCAGAGATTTTCAAACCTTTTTGATCTCATGGCACACATAAATTAATTACTAAAAGTTGGCAGCATGCCAAAAATACATTCTTTGCCGATCTAACAAAAAATAGGTAAAATTTTGATTCCTTCACACCAGAGAGCTATTGCTGTGTTGGCTGTTGTCATTTATTTATTTATAATCTAAGGGAGATCAGTGCCTCTGACCAAATAGTCAGGTAATACATTTTAAAAATTCTTGTGACACTCCAGTTGAAAATCACTGCCTTAACTAAATGGAGAAAACTTTAAATTAACTTGAATGATGAGACCTGGGTATAATTACTAGGGCTCTATCATCTAAAAGATTTCCTAATACAAGTTCACCTTGATTTGTGTGAGACACGCTGCTCTGTATAGTTATGAGTAAAACCAACTATGTGTTAAAATAGCCCGTGATTTTTGGAGTTATTCTGTAAATGGAAGAATCACTTATAAAACTAGTACTAATTAATTTTCAGTTTACAAGTCCACTTTTGCATATCAGATGTTCTTTAAGAAAGTATACATTGCTTTAATTTACAAATATATACTTCACGGAGTTTATAACATGGTCAAACTTTTTTACATTCATTTCACTTTCATTCACTTTGCTTCTGGCTTACATGCTTGTCCTATAAAAACAAGCTAGCTGAATTTTATTTCAATTGACTGAAGTATTTCTCAAGGTGTAGGAGGCCTGTCCAGAAAAAGCTCAGCCATTGTTAATATAACGGGAATGGTTTGAGCAACACTGATGTAACCTGGCAGCCCAGGAGAGTGGACTGGAATGTGCATGTGTGAACAATGACAACTTCACTCTACTAGTCAGTGGGGGTGGTAGACCCCACTGAGTGAACATATGTACTGTGTGGCTGTCACATTCAAAATAACAGTACAGCAAAGAATCTGCATCAATTTTGCATTAAGCTTGAATATTCCTCCACAGAAACTATTTAGATGATTTAAAAAGCTTTGGGGGATGATACAATGGGTGCAATGCAAATGAAAGTGTGGCACAATTGCTTCAAAGGTGGCTGAGAATCTGTTGAAAGTGGTCCACGCTCTGGAAGGCCTGTAACAAGCAGAACATTTGAGAATGTTGAAAGTGTATGGGCTGCAATCAACAAAGATCGGTGACTGACGATGCAAGAACTAAGAATTGATCTGGGGATTCCAAAAACTACCACATCCGAGATGCTGACCACATAATCTTGGCATGAAACATGTTGTGGCAAAATTCATTCTGCTACCAGAGCAGAAGGAACACCATGCTGCAGTTGCTAAGGACTTAATTCAAACCACTACCAGTGAACCAGATTTCCTCAAGAAGGTCATAACTGGCGATGAATCACGGGTTCACAGCTATGGTCCAGAAACGGAGGCCCAGTAGCTCCAATAGAAGTTGCCTGGTTCTCACATCCAGAGAAGGTGCAGCCAAGTTGCAGTGAGATCCAGACCATGTTAGCTGTGTTTGATCGGGAAGGTGCTGTCCATCACAAGTATGCCCCTCCGGGCCAAACAGTTAATGCAGAGCACCACCTCAGTGTTCTCTGTCGGTGGAGAGACACGGTGTAATGAGAATGGCCACAGCTGTGGAGAACTGGTCACTGACAGTGTCCCCATGACAATGCCCCCGCATCACGTATGGTGCAGTTTTGTGCTGAAACATCAATCACCCAAATGACTCAGCGCCACTACAGCCCAGATTTGGTGTCGTTTGACTTCTGGCTTTTCCCAAAACCAATATCACTTTTGAAAGGGAAGAGATTTCAGACTGTTGATGAGATTCAGGAAAATAATGACAGGGCAGCTGACAGCAATTCCAACAAAAGATTTCACAGTGTTTTAAACAGTGGAAACACCTCTGGGAGAACCGTGTGAGGTCCCAAGGCACCTACTTTGAAGGGGACTGAGGCACTACTATCTTACATACGATGTTCCTTATGTCTTCAATAAATGCCTCTTCTTCATAGCACATGGCTGGGTACTTTCTGGACAAACCTCACATTAACAGTATTCTGTGAAACTACTAACTTTACCCAGATAATTTTTGCTATAGGATTTGATAATGAAATTTCATTAAAAATTATAAATTAATTTCCTGATCAATAAAACTAGTATGGACCATCAAATAATAATAATAGTTAATATTTCTTGGGAATTTATTACATCCCAAATACCTGTATGTAGGGATTACTTCATTTAATCCTCATTAATTCTTATGATTTAGGTGTCATGTTGAAGTTAAAAAAAAAAGAAGAATTAAACAAAGTGACATTCTCTACAGCACCAGGAAGTGGAGGACCAGAACCCGAGCCCAGGGCCGAGTTCTCCTCTCCTCTGGCACACCACCCACAGTGCCTTTAGCCAGTGCGGAGTTCTGTTTGGATATTATTTTGAGACCACTTCCTAACTAAGGTAAAGAGTAGAAAAAGAAACATTGAAGTGCACAGAATAAACCCTGGCGATGAGGACCCTGCTGCCCGCGTGTCCTCTCTCCAGCAGCGAATGCCGCTTACAGGGGTTTGCGCCGTCGGCGACGATCAGCATCCGCAGCGAGGAAAGGTTGATGTCTCTCTGATCCCTGTGGGCCACCAATGCCCAGTGCATGTCCCTGGACTTGACACAGGCCACTTTTGCTGAAGTAGAAGCAGAGGGAGAGGAATTAATGTGTGGTCTCTCAGACCGTGAGCCATTAAAAGAGGGACTCATGAGAGTGGGGGACACCGAGGCCACTCCGGGATGCACCTTTGTACTGGCAGACCTTCTGGATCCAGGAGAGCGGGTTCACCTTCATCAGCGAGTACGGGATGCTGATCACGTGCATCATGTTCATGACGCTCTGAAACCAAAGACACGCACAGAGGTGAGACTGGAGAGGCCCTTCCCGCCAGCACCAGGCTCCAGGCAGGGGCACAACAGGACAGGCTTGGGGCTCCTCACACTGCCAGGGGTGCTCGGTGCCCACGGGCGGCTGATCCCAGGGTATGTCAGGATAATCCGGGAACGGGAGTCTCAATGGTTACCTAGTCCTTTCAGCTCCTGCTTTTCCTGATATAGGTGGAGAATCTAAGTCCAAATACTTTTTGTTTAAAAAAATGAAGCCTTTAATTTTAATGATTATCATTTTTTAAGGTCCTTTCATAGTGGAAAGTGGCTGTATCACTCTTAGTGACCCCCAAAAGATTCATTTCTTTAAAATGAATGACCAAAACTTTCAAAATACTAGACTTACTGGGGGAATCACTTCATATATTACATAAATGTCTAACTGCTTTACTGTACACTTGAACTAACATAAAATAATACTGAATGCCAACTGTATTTGAAAAAAATAAAAGCAAAATCAAACTAAAAATAAAATAAATGGTCAGTCCCTACATGCCTCAGGTAGGACTCACACACCTGTCTGGATGTCATCTAGTCCAATGCACTCAGGAGCTGGTGGTGAAGGGACTACAAAGAGGGAACGTCGGCCAGGACCTTCCCGGCTCTGTGACATCAGGATTCTCTCTGCTACTGTGGGAGGAGGTGAAAGGAGAGGGCGGGGGTGCTCCAGAGAGCACTGGCCTAATCTGGAAGCTCTGAAGGAAAATGACCACCTATTTATTCCCAGGTAGAAGTGGGCATACTGGCCCCTCTCACCTTGGTTGCTCCCCACTCCATGCTGGGAGTGAGAGCACCTTCCAGCACAGAGAAGATGCCACAGGACAGTGTGTGTGGCTCTCCAGCCAGACCTGCCTTGCTCTAGAAAGTGGCAGCAAGAGACTCAGAAACTGCCGGTTCTTAGGGCAGTAATCCAGAGCAACAGAAAGCAGGTGGGAGACAGTATGGACAAGGTCTACCACAGACCTACTGCCGTGCCCCTGAAAGCACGATCGTCGCGAGAAACTCTGATGGCAACAGTAATGGCGGCTGTGTCCCATTATCAAGCAGGTGGATGGGCCAGGTGCTCACTAAACATCAGGCCCATGATTCTTACACAGCATCACCATTCCCACTGGACAGATAAGGAACCTGGGATTCAGAGTCACTTGGGCAAGAAATGATTTTGGGGCTCAGGTGACTTGCCTAGAGTCACAAAGCTGTAAGTGTGACCTGCGGCCTGCACAAAATCGTAAACTCACTTAGAATATTATAAGATTTCTTTGTGATTATGTGTCACGATGTATTTAATGTGTGGTGCAGGGACACAAAAAGGTCGGACACCCCTGCAAGGAAAGGCTGAGGTCTGGGCCTGGGTTCTCTGACCCCGGCCTCTGCCCATGACACCAGCCCGGCCGTGTGAGTGCTCGTGGGGAGTCAGGCTCGTGTGGCTGGTCATCGGCTGGTATCCAGACAGTAGAAACAAACTGTGCAGGTCACAGAAAGAAGCTGCCGGTCTGGAGCTCCTCATGTGACACATAAATGCTCCTGTCCTGATAAATGCTGGTTGAGAAAGAAACAATAAATTCCACTTTCTATATTGATATTCCTATTAATCGTGCAAAAGGAACTAGATTTTTCTACTTCAGAAATGATAAAGTTTCAGCATGAGAAATTTTAAGAAGGAAAATGGGTGATTAAAGAGGACCACATATAAAACAGACATGTAAGAATCTAAGCAGTCACACCACACATTTTTAAGTGCCAAACATATCTTAAATAATAAGCCATCTCTCTATAAATGTGCCTGCAGCTTTGAACTGGCGTCACTTATCAAGTGGCACCGACAATAAGGCACCGACAATAATGAGCCATGAATTCTCCACCACACACACCGAGTCTTCATCGAGGGGAGATCTGTAAAGACCTTCTCTAGCATAATGACACAGGTTCCCACAGTATCCATAAATACTGACTTATAAAAAGAAAAAAAAGAATGTTGTTGCCAAAACAGATGTCAAGTGACCCAAACTCAGACACTTGACAACTAACACTGCTGCATAATCATAAATGATGAAAGTGGGGAGGAAGATACTGAGCTTCCCAGGAGCCTGGGAAAGGCTGCCCTGAGCAGCTGTGCATTCAGTGTGGGTCAGTGACTCACGCAAGTGGCTGCAGAGACCCACTGGGTTTACTGTGCTTTTGGAAGCTCTGTTAGCTGCCAATTCGAGACTTCTAACAATGACGACTTCTCCTTATAACTGGAAGAAAGGGGCTTGCCCTAGCTTCTAAGTGTAAAGATCCTCCTTCCAATTCTGACAGGAGCACATGCAAATGTAACTGAGACACAGCAGGACTGAGCATCCGTCACACTTACTGTTAGGATTCCATGCCAGAGCCCAACGTCTTTCTTGAAATCCAACACATTCACAATGGTTTCAGCTGTACAAATAGGAAGAGTAGCAAGATTTTTACTTATGACAGGAACAGAACAAATGGCAAAGAAAACCCAGTGTCACATCAGGGGTGGCGACGGACCTTAGAATGACAACAGTTCACTGTATCTTTGTAGAAAGATAAACTGTTGGTCTGCCTGGAAAGCGTTTCAAGACAAAATTCTGACATGCACATTTACAGCAAGAACTCTTCATGCCCTCACTTAAAGCACCTTTTCCCTTCTCTTTGTATACAAATATTTCCCCCTTCCTGCCTCTTTCCTTTTTTTTAAAAAAAGATTCTTTTCATTTCCATCACGTGTTCTCCCAGGAAACCTGAGGGACAGGCGATTTCCAGCACAGGCCCTCTGCTGCGGCACCACAGAAGCCTCAGGGGTGGGGCTGGGATAATATAGGAGACAAGGGCTTCAGAAAAACAGGACGGGGGAGCAGTCGAGGGTTGGGGGGGTGCTTTATAAAGGTGAGGGTAAGAAAGGGGAGCTGAAAATATATGGTTGGAACAACTACTATGATGGACCATGGAAGCCAAGCTGGAGAGCCAGCCACCAGCAATACCACGAACAATGCTTTGGAAGTGACACTTGTCAAGTGGCCTGGGCAGGTGGCTGGGCTGCCTACCCCTCTGCCCAGCGCCGCCCAGCACTGAGCCCCAGGCATTTACCCAGGCCTTGTCCTCCACGTTTACTTGTTTGTTGTTGAGATGTCTGCCAAAGGCTCAGCGCTGTTTGCCTGACCACATTTCAGAGGAAACAACCTACATCGCGGTTTATACAAATACTTTTTAAATGGGGAAATGGAGAGCATCTCTTTGTCTTTTGTTCCCCTCTCCAACTCCGACAAGAGTGACAACCTTAGGCCTTCAGTTAAGACAAGGAAATGGGTCATGAAGTTGTAAGAAATGTTGAAATTAAAACTGGAAATGCTGACAAGTAGGGTGGTAGTAATTAGAGACAATGTGTCTTGATGTCTGGGAAACTAGTCCAGGTACCAAAAATCAGCAGAACATCTGAGAAAAGTTCATTGTTTTTAAAAAAGGAAAATAAATATCAGAAAGATGGGGGGAGAAAAAGAATGAGAAAAATAGAGAAAGTGAAGCGTTTCGGGCTTCACTGGAGTGACGGGTGCCACCAACGTTGGTGGACATGCTCCCAGTGCAGGGACCTTGCAGCAGAGGCTCCAGCCAGAGGGATAACTAACTGGTATCTGGCCTGACCCTTCTAAGATCCCAGGTCAGTGCTGTTACCACAGTTTCCTCTGGTCACCCTTCTTCTTTGCCTCCATGGCTATCCAGTTCCAGTGAAAGAAAGTACGTCATGGAAACCAATGGTTCTCAGCTGTGTAGCCTACCCCTGGGAGCTTACAGAATTCACTACCAGCAACTCGAGCTCAGTTGGCTGGGGTGGCCTAAACACGGGCATTTTTTTTCAACACTTTCAAAGGGATTCTGCTGTGTGGACAGAGATGAATACACATGGAATTAATGATCTGTGGTGGCCTGAGTAGGGTCCCCTCGAGTTCAGAGGTTAAAGCCTTAATCCCACTGTGACTGAATGTGGAGATGGGACCTCTGAGGGCCAAAAGGTGGACCTGATCCAACAGAACCAGTGTCCTTATGAGGAGAGGCGGAGACGCCGTATCTCTTGCTCTCTCCACATGCACAGGAGAAAGGCCCGGGGAGGACACAGAGAGAAGGTGCTGCCTGCACACCAGGAAGCAATGTTCACCCCCAGGAACCGCCCTGATGGTGCCCTCACCTCGGACTTCCAACCAAGACCATGAGAAACAAGTGCCTGTTGTTTAAGCCTCTAGGTTGAGGCATTTGTTACTGCAGCCGGAACTGAGACACTACACAAGCCAAGTTCGCCTGCAGTTGAGCTGGGCTCAAATGTCACACAACTCTTACGGTTACCAGTGGGAACAGCACCGACTCTTGGCTGGTCAACATGTATCTCACGGGCCACGGTCTGGAGTCAGGGTCCCCAGGGAGGGTCCCAGCAAGTCCCCCCGTACCTTCTGTGTAGCCGCACGCCTGTGTGAGAGCCTGGCAGTGGGTCAGCAGTGCAATCCTCGTCACGGTCACCCCGAGCACACTTCCATCCTTGCACGTCTTATACTGAAACGAGATGACAATGGGGGGACAAGTGGTACCAAGAAGCAAAGCAGGAGCCACATCCATCAGCTCTTCCGGTCACATAAGAGGCTGAAGATCCCGATTCTGGAACTGTGTAATACCAGCAAAGTGGGGACTTAGTTGCAAAGCCCCGGACCCAGTGACGTACCTCGATATATGCGGTGTCATTATTTGCATCTTTAATGTGTGGGAACCAGTCTCGAGGAGGTTTGGAGAGATGTTTTGACTCTGTGACAAACCATAACAACTTTGGCCAACCTTGGAAATAAAGGACAAATTCCTTTTAGTTGAGTGTTTCCCAGAAAAGAAGCGTGAAGAATCACTTCCCCATTCATGACCATAGTTCACACCACCGCGTGCCAGAGAGAACCTCTGGTGTTTCCATCGAGTCAAGGACAACAGCCATGGCGCAAAAGCCACCGCCAGTCAAATCACGCTGCAGGGTGGGCTGATACGCTGTCGGAGACATTGGTGTGTGGAGAAGAATGCACCCTGGCTGACTCACTGCAGAGCAGCCCTTCCCAGTGAAGGGCCCTCCTCCCGACAAGGCACCGACACTGCCGTACCTTTGAACTGGGGGATCTCCCCCGTCGGGCTCTTCGGCAGTCCTTTGTGGCAGGCGTCGCTGGTCAAGGCAACGGTCACTCCACAGCTGCCAAGCAGGAACCCGATCTGCTGGCTCCCTGCATCCTGGGAGAGGGCAACAAAGAGAAAAGAGGCACAGAGACGAGATGACAGCGGCACTCCTGGCAATACAAGGCCTCATCCTGGGTTCTGGGATGCAAGAAACCACCCTGATCAACTGTGACTCCTGCACGGGCTGGGCTCTGCAAAATAGCATCAGATCCCAGACGGCCGCCTGCTAGCTGTGTGGCTTTGAATGGGGGAGCTACCTCGTGTCGCTTCTCTTAACAGCGCCATGCGGTGAACGGCAGTCCCCTCACAGGTCTGCTGTGAGGGATAAAGCAGGAGAAGCAAGTAGTACTCAATGTGGGGCTGGCACTTAGTGGTCTCATAAAAACTCCCAGTTCTGTGAACTATTACTACAGGACGTCAGTACTGTGGAGAACAGAAGGGGCCTGAGAAAACGTCTTCATACTGAATAATTACTGCCTGCCTGATTTTAAACACTCTGAGCACAGGGCTCTGCCATATTTGATCACATCTACAAACAAATGGAGACCTGGTCACCACCACCCACCCTGAGCACGTGTTGCCTCATGAAATAAGAACGTGTGTTAGACAGGCCAGCATGTGTGACCGTGGTTCTGGTAACACTGAGCACTGGGAACCTCCAGGTAACCAGCACCCTCGTAGGAACATGGCGCCTCTGCGGGAGGGGCAGCCACGGGACGTGCCAGCCGCCCCGTGGGAAGGTAACCCAGTTCTCTTTCTTTCCTCGCGCTGCCAGGCTGGCTGACTCACACTGTGCAGGAGCTGGCATCGCTAGAACCAAAATGTCTTGACTGCAGTGAACCCGTCGCCTCAGTTCACTGCATGGGACTCTGCCTGAACCCCTGGGCCCTGGCCTGCTGGTGGACCAGACACCTGGCTGTCTGTCACTCTACCTGTTTTTCTATCTTGCTAAGAAAAACATGAGGCACCGTGGTGTTTTCACCCAAGTAAAATCAACAGTATTGACACCTTACACCTACAGTCTTTCAAGTGAACAGTTTCTATTTTTCTTTTTGTCAACTTAATCCCCCCACCCCAGAGAAAACCACATCTTTTTCTATGTGGGACTGTGCACAGGAAATCTCCAACACCCTGTGCAGCCCTGAGAGGGGGCGGGTGGACAGGAGTGGTCCCATTTTTGGGGTGCTCACAGTATGTTTCCTTCAAGCAATGCTATTTCAAAGAGTTATAATCAGTAACTTTAATACGGCGGTGTCAAACTGATTTTCACCAGGGGCCACATCAGCCTCACAGTTGCCTTCAAAGGGCCGAATGTTAAGTTCAGGACTGTGTAAATGTAACTACTCCTTAATAGTTAAGCGAGAGCTCAGCACTGCCGCCAGGTAGAAACAAGGTGCCAGGCTGGATAAAACAAGGTGGAGGGCTGGATTCGGCCCACGGGCCTTGTGTTTGCCACCTGTGCTTTAACAGAATTTGTATAGCCCATCACCAAACACCATGACTATGCAGTGGGAAAGGAAGACAGATTCTGAGATCAGGTTCGGCAGCAGGAAGGCATTTCCTTGTGCGTGTGAGCTTGCCACACTGTCTACAACAAAGAGGGTTTGGGAGCAAGAGCACCAGCGAGTACCTGCCGAGACCCACAAAGGGCTCGTCGTGCCCATGCTAAGGGTGCACTCTGACCTTGGCACCCCCAGTGGAGGCACGATGTCCCCTGAACCCTGTCTTTCCAACATCTGCTCATGACTTGACTTCTAAAATGATGGAATCACCAGGATAAAAAGACACCTAAAATACAGACGGAGAGATGAGAGATCAAGCGGGAAGGGGAGTAACTGGGAATCGGATGCCATGATTCAGCAGGAAAGTCAAATTTCATGCCTGTTCCTCCTTTGCCTAGAAGGAGCTTCTCGTCGTCATCATCTGGACAATACCTACTGAGAGCTCCAGTCAAATGTCAACTAAACAAGAACAACTGTGACTGCTGCACCCACACAGAGCTGGGGTAAGACCCGGTTCACCTGCTCTCAGGGCAGCCTGTGTGTTTCCTTCACACACCAAGACCCCTGAACAAACACACACTTGAACCCACAGCCTGGAGCAGAGCCCTGCATATAGAGACACCCAACACATAATGTCCAAACTGAATTTCTACCTGGACTCTGAGGACAAGGACGGCAAGGACCCTGGACCTGTCCTGTGCAGCCACCCACCTGGCACTCACACTGAGGCCTTGTAAACCTTCCTCTATCTGGCCTGATATGCCCCCGCTAGGTCAGGGAGGCAGCTGCATCTCAGGAAGAATGTGACGACTCCCTGCTGGAGTACACACCCGCCGTACTTGTTCTCCGTGCCTTTTCCCTGGGAGTGAGGGCACTCTGGTCTGCGGGCACCACCTGGCTGGGGCTCTTCCTCTGCAGAGCCGTGCTGCCAAGGACGGTCAGCTCCCTCATCACAAGATCTCACTAATGACTGATTCTTTTTTAGATGCCAAGGAAATCTGGACCTCCCTTGAGTTTAAAGTTTCCCCTTGCTTTCAATCTTTCTCCAATATGTAGAGAGTTGAATAATTATGTCCCTTCCTAGGAAGTCTGGCCTTACCATAGCCTCCCTCACAAGTAACTCCTCCAGCAGCAGACAAGGCAAGTGGACATGTCACTCGACCATCATCTCTGCCATCTCGTCTCAGTCTCCTCATCGGCAAACATCAGTCACACCCACAGAAAGGATTCTCTAATAAATAAGAGGTAATTTCATGGCAAGCCTCTCTCGAGCTCATTTTTGATTCTCGGCCCCACAACAACTATATGATATTTGTTCAGTTGTGTTCCTTGCCCATGCAAACTGCCAACTAACAGCTGGTTAGCTCTTATCAGATGAAAAAGACAATAATGAAAGACATGATGGCGAAATGGATGCAGATGCAGAATCAACACCGAATGCTGTAGACTCATGAGCTTAAAGATGCTCGTGGTCATGGAACCAGGTGGATCAAAGAAATTGGACATGGACATTTTCCTTATTAAAACTAAGACAAACTTGTCATAATATATATAAATTTGCTAATTAACATCTAACTTTTTATTTATAATGGAAATTTTCAAACACACACAAGGATATAGAGAAAAGGAGAAAGATTCCCACAAATCTATTAATCGAGCTGTAACAATTAGCCAACGTTTGGTAAATCTGGTCTCTCCCCAAACACACACACACACACACACACACACACACACACACACACACGCTCAGACCGGAGTACTTTAAAGTGAATCCCATTCCTGGGGCCCATCCTTTCACACACATACATTTTGGCTGTGAGGGTCGCCCCAGTCTGCCAGTGTTCCCCCTCCCCAGTGCCTGGATGCCATGGTCTCCTCAGTACCTCTGATTGCCTCAGGGAGAGGTTCTGTGACTGATTACAGGACGTTGTAAAAATGTGATGAGACGTTGATGTTACCACTTCCAGAGACATGTCATTTTTATGTGGCATCTGCAAGCCTTTGCTAAGGCAAACAGATGGCTGGTGTGTGAGAATCTAAGGAGAGGGAGTGAGTGCTGGCACGCCGGCCCTGGTCAGCTGACTCCTGCGGCCCACGGGCCTGCCTTGTCTCTGGCCCTCTCCCACTTAGATTATGGGCACTTGCCCCCATGCTGGTGGCCTTGCTACTTTCCTGTGAGACTCAGATGCCCATGTGTCCGGAAGGAGAAGTTCTGGCCCGGCCTAATTTTGCCAATTGACAAATAGGTTCTGTTGACAGCTGGCCTTCACAGACCAGCTCAGCCACCTCAAGAGGGTCCTGGGGACAGGCGTTTCCATCTGCTGTGACCCCTCAAGGCCTGTCCTGGCACAGTCGTGTGGACACCCGCTCACCCCTCCCCGTGCCCAGCATCGCAGGGACACTGACTTTTTCTGCTGTGACATCTTCAAGGGAAAAATGAGCTTTTCCTCTCATCCCCATAATTAGAACAGAGAATAAATTAATGTACATGAACTAAATTGTTCAGTCAGTTTCATTAAGCAACATTCAGGATTCAGAAAATTTGGTTCTAATTAGGCCCATTGTTTTTAAATCATCACCCAAGGATATGTTTATTGATTTTAGAGAAAGGGGGGAGAAAGGGGGGAGAGAGGGTGAGAGAAGGAGATATAAACATCAATCAGCTGCCTCTTTCACATGCCCTGATTGGGGATTGAACCTGCAACCTAGATATGTGGCCTGATTGGGGATTGAACCTGCAGCCTTTTTGGTGCAACACTCCACACAACATTCCAACCAACTGAGCCACCTGGCCAGGGATGGCCCATTATTTTAAGACAAGTCCAGCGGAAACAGGACTGGTGGATGGAAGAAACACTCCTACACGTCATCGCCTGTGCGCATGTGCACATCCTACCCCATTCTCAACTGCACCCAACCAATGGTTCTTTTATTTAAAATTAAGAGACGTTCTCTAAGACAACAAATGTTATGCTCTGCAGTCTCAGAGCCTGAGTGACAGAGGGGACCACTCCACGGCTGTCACCTCCGTCTCCTTGGACAACAGCAGACCATCGGTGTTTGGTGGCCACCAGTGTGAACCCTGTGGGGCCTCCTCCCTCTGTCTCTCTCCCACAGATGCTGTAGCCCCGGAGCACAGAGAGCACGTCGTCTGTGTGGATGAAGAGACACACACGGATGCGCAGGACAGCACAACGTTCCTTCTGATACTGCACTGCAGTTTCATTATCAGAGCAAGATTAAGTACTCACTCTAATTATAAAGTAAGATCTGACAAATCGTAGGTGGTCCTGGGACTTGATAAGGTCCAAACACCTGAGTGAAAGCAGTGACCACCTCTCCCCAACATTAAAAATCTCTCATTTGCCCAGGCTTCCAGTATAATGATGCGGAGGAAGAGGACACACAAACACCTGCTTTATTGACAGATGACTTGGCTGGACTCTGTTACAATGCGCAGAGGCTCTGCCTCTGATATGCTCTTCCTACCAAACCACGTGGCTGAGTGTGCAGTTACTGTGCCCTTTACTGAGGTAACAGCTGGAGACCTGAGAGCCTCAGAAACAAGAACCGCCTCCCTGTGCCTCTTGATCCACATCCTGCTGAGATGAAAAGCCATTTTCAAAATGGCCATCCACACATTCCGACCTCATGAGAGAAAGTTCCAGTGCAGTCGAGCCTGTCATCCCCATTAACAGGCTTTAATGAAACAACGCATTCTTTACCTTTCTCGTGAGTGGTACTTCTATGGGCACAGGAACAACCTCGGCCAGCAGGCAGCCGTAGAAGGCCACCATGGACGCAGCAGGGTCGTTGTTGGGGAACACCAGAGCCACCTGCATGGACACAGGGGGGTGAATTTACCATTAACATGGCTTTTAAAATACCATGAAAGGAAGCAGCCTGCCACTGACAGTTCATGCTCCCAGTAAGAACAAACGCTGGAACAAAAAATAAGTGCCCTACTTAAGAATGCTCTTTAGGAAGACATGTTTTACCAGGTGTCATATACTTTTAATTCACGTGAAAGGCAAGCACATTACCAAGCCATCTATAACACCGCACCAGAATGCAACCGTCCTTGCTTTTGGCACCTGTCTTCCACATGGACACACTGTACAGGAAACTACAGTGTGCACTGTTCTGTTTCCCACCAGGCTTCGTACACACGTCCTTGTAGTCTCCGCAATCACGACCGGACCCCGTGTGCGTCCTCACAGGTGCTGGGCTGGCAGCTGGGCCCAAGTGGGGACCCACTCAGACCCCACTGGGGTTTGGCTCTGGGATCTGGGGCGGTGTTGGCCACACTAAGCCTTTGTTTTCTCATCTGAAAGCAGGAGCACTGGGACCTCCATCTTAGCCTGTGGTAAAGGTTCTAAAAGCCAGCTTAGTTTACACTACCACCCAAATAACCACATAATGGATAGCATGACTTTGCAGTACGTTTTCTTACTGTCCTTGGGCTACATTAGTGATGACACTTTCCCATGGAGTGACTGTAGGTGTCCATTCTCAGATGCACTGCTTTTCAGTTCCCTTGTGTACTTACCTGTTAGTGTTTCGACAGTGCCCCTCAAGTCTGGATGAATTTTAAATATGTGTGATAATAGTATTAAATTTGGTGTAAAGACTTATTGAGATAATAGTTTATTTTTATTGTTGCATTTAATGTTTTCTATAAATCTGTCAAACTTTCCCTTTATCACCTATTATTTTAAAAATATTTCATGTGACTTAAATTGATCTGAAGCTCATTCTAGTGTCTGCACAGTGCAGCTAATTAAATAGAGCCCATCCTAGTCTCTTGCTTTAAAAAGCCTGATTGAAGACATAAAGTTGTAACAGACAAAGTCCTGTGTCGGGACTGTCCACTATGCTCTCCCAGATTCTGCTTTATTTTAACATGAGTTTCTCTCATGTGCTGTTATGGCACTGGCGATACTCTTTCTTACAAGTTTGGTGTGTTTACAAAGCACATAAAACCTATGAGTTAGCACACGATCATCATAATTTTTTGTGCTAGCATATTCCAAAGTTTAAACAACTTTTTCTTTTTTTTTAAGGGGACAATTTATCCCCCCCCCCAAGATTTTATTTACTGAGAGGGGAAGGGAGAGAGACAGGGAGAGAAACATCATTGTGTGGTTGCCTCTTGCCTGCCCCCACTGGGGACCTGGCCCACAACGGAGGCATGTGCCCTGACTGGGAAGTGAACCGGCAACCCTTTGGTTCACAGGCTGGTGCTCAATCCACTGAGCCACACCAGCCAGGGATACACTTTAAAAAAAATATCCCAACTAGGAGTAAATAGTTTTGTCATGAACAGCTGGATAAAACATTCTATTTCCCTATCTAAAGAAACAGGGTTGCATAGAAGGTTTCAGATGGAGCTGGGGATGAAGCAAGCTCCATCTTAAATTTGGCCATGTTGGCAATTTAGTAACACAGAACAACTGGTGGAAACAAAATCAAGTTGGGAACATCTAATTTCTCTATGAAATGTCTGAAGTTTACTAAAATCATCTAAATGAGAGACAAACAAAACTGAAGGGCCAATAAAAGCCATTTTGCACTACTGATGAATTTTATTTGAGAAACTCTGTGAAACAGTTGTTAAATATTAATCCTTATTTTGTCTCAACAACATCCAGACAGATGGCAGGCTATCATTAGTAGGACTTTCAAGGAGGAATATAAGGGTTTATTTGTATGTCTATGCATATGAACCACAACCAACTATTTTTTAAAAAGCTGTCTTGAGGTGTGTGCATTGGCCTCAGATGTCCTGTGTTTAATTGGCAAGCTGAGAGCTGACCGAACCTGTCTCTAGAGCTGGATCTGGCAAAGCAACAATATTGAATTAAATGTCTACAAATCTTCCGGGGTACAACTGCCATGTGGCTTCTGTCCCTGAAGTCGACCAAAATGTCTCAAGAAGCTAGTCAAAGTGTAATAAAAAAGCAGATGTTGAAGTTCCATCTGAAACTGATGGCCTCACCCATTCATAAGGGACGAGTTAAATACTGACTTGTTCTTCCTAACATGTACCTATTCTGTAGGTGGGAGTCACCATGATGAAGACAGAAGAGAAAGAAAGCAGGTGGCGTCCCAGGGCCAGACAGTGTATCAGCCTGCTCCCGAGACAGAAGTCTGGTTGCCATGCCAGCGCCGCTTGCAGGAAGATCGACTTGATCCAGGATTTAGGACCTCCCTGCTAATGCCATGTTACATAACCTCACAGAGTTGTAAGATAGGACAAAATGTTACGTTAATGTAAAATAAATAAAAACAGAATATAAAACTGCATTGTCAGCTCTCAACCACGTAAAAATAATGGGTAGAAAAGGATCAAATTCCTAAAACCTCTTTTAGAATAAAAATTTATTTTTTTCCAATTTGCTTTAAGGAAAGGGAAGTCTGTATTCTCATCATTCTCATTAAGTTTTCCTTTAATGCCTGACCAGTCAAAAGCCCTGTTTTGTGGTAACTCCACAGAGATTCCAAATGACTTCATACACTCACATGGTTCCCTTTCATCTGGTTCTACATATTCCTTCGAGATTTCCTTGCACCTGATTATCCAAAGAGCAGAATAGACATCAACAAATCAAGAGGTGGAAGCCCGTCCTAGTACTTGCTCAGGTTTACCTTGTTTTCTATATTTAGGAAACAAGGTTTATCTATATTTCCCACACCCAGCCCTACTGTGTGCATGCCTGGTTTGTCGTCTTTGGCATGCTACATTCTAACCCCGGCCTCCGGTTCTTTCACATGCTCTTTTCCAGAAGCCCACCAAGAACTCATGGCCTTTTTTACCCCAAGAAAACTTCTCGGCCCTGGCTGGTGTAGCTCAGTGGATTAAGCGAGGGCCTGTGAACCAGACAATTGCGGTTCGATTCCCAGTCAGGGCACATACCAGGGTTGCAGGCCGGTTCCCTGCAGGCCAGTTCCCAGCAGGCGATGCATGAAAGGCAACCATACATTGATGTTTCTTTCCCTCCCTCCTTCCCTTCCCCGCTAAAGATAAATAAATAAAATCTTAAAAAAAAAAAACAAAAAACTTCTCGGACCCCAGATGCTCCCCAAATGAAAGAGATCGATCTCTGTTTCCCAAAAAGTTCAGCTGTATTACTCACCATCTCTTTTCTGGACCTATATTCCTTTCCAATTCATAGAAAAGTTAATCATCAATGTGTCTATTTAAAAAAAAAGTACTGCAAACTCCCTTAAGGCAGGCTTCACACGTGAGACTTCATGTACCTTCCACAGCTCCTCCTACAGCCTCCTGAAACCTACTCAGTTCAGGCACTTACTTCAACGCCTTTTTCAAAGTCCAAGGAGATGTTCCCCACACTGCCTTCATACAGTCACCTACGTGCAAAGTGCCTATAATTTTCATGGTAAGGACTGAATGTCCCTTATTCTGGAAGAAGGTATGTTTCATTCAAAAATGACTTTCAAAGAATTCTGTATATAGTGATAGGAAGTTATTATCAATTGAATGCTACAGTCACGTATGCTTTTTAATGAGCACTTATTTACCCATGCCAGATATGGCCACATAAAACTGCTGTAAGTGGAATTGCAACAATTAAGTTGTGTGCTTTTCTGTGTGTGCACCTGGCTAAGTGCACACACAGAAAGAAAAAGTAGCAGGGGACCTAAACTAAAGTGCTTACTACATTTAACAAATCATGTCGACTTAGGACTTAGAGCATTGCTAGGGAAACAGATGGAGTAAGAATCTTTAAAAAGATTATGGTCCAGATATTTAAAATTTTTTTGATACTCTTTATTTAAAATAAAACAGGCATTTAGCCATCTTATTAATACTAAAGTTATTTCTTGACAGAAAAAATTTTCCAAAAGAAATGATATCATATACATCTCCCCTATCTTCCCTTCTCGCTTTACTGAAAGCTAAAATTGTAAGGGCTGCATCAACCAGAAGGTCGTTCTGCCTACTGCCTAACACTTACTGATCTCGTTGCTACTTGGGTACCTTCTCATTCATGAGCAATCTAGGGAAGGAGCTACCTGGTTACTAGCACAAGCTTTAAAAAAAGGTTAAAAACACTGTGCCTTTCAGTTGTGAGTTGGCCTAAAGGAATGAGGATGAACTGATATTGGTTGTTTACAGAGCAGAAAGTGCTATAGGAAGTCAATCTGAGATGCTAACCTTAAAAGAGCTTTTTCTATGAAGAAATCTGCCTCAGCTAGATGGAATAAATCACACAACTGTTTTCCTTTCAGTTACCCAAGGTGTTTTTCTCCACCTGGTTTCATGTATGAGTGTTTGGCAAAAGGCGTTAGTCTACCTGGAGGTTTGAGGAACATCCTGTTTATGAACAGGAGCTAATTAAAGAAAAACCTAATTAAGGGAAGGGGTTACTACCTAGCGATTCAGCGTGATTTTATTTGGTGGCTAGGGAATTTCTTGGAGACCCTGGAGCACCCTGCTATGAGCTCTTCCTGGACTCCTTCCCTGCCTGTCCTCATATGAGCTCTTTGAAGACCACGGCTTTTCCTGCTCCAGCTGCTGCTTCGTAATTTTTAACCAGGAGTGGAGGGTCTTTTCCCCTTGGTGCTGCTGGGACTGCTGGAGGGACTCTATGTGTGAGTCCAGGCCCTCTGTTCAGAGACAGCACAGCTGAGCAGCATGTCTCTCTGCTGCCACTTCCAAGGCCTGGCCCTTCCTTTTCAGCTCCTTTTCTTCTCTCTCCCCAGCGTGCTCACGGGTGGCTCACTCAGCTGCCTCTCCAGTAAGGCTGTTTCCTGGAGGTACCAGGCCGGGCCTTTGCAGCCGTCTCAGCTCACACTTTAGCTCCTCCTGGATTGTCCACAGCTCCCTGTACTCTTTCTCCTTTCCCAGTGAAATCTCCTTCACTGTCCCCTGCTGCTGCTGCTGGAAATTGGAGACCAGCTTTTCTTTCTCCAAGAGCATGTTGTCTGAAGCTCTGAAGTTTGTTTCCCATACTTGGAGGCTGATTCTTGTCTCAATGGAAACATCTCACCTTTTTCTTGTGCATAATTGTCCCACTGACTGTCGATTTCCATTAGATACGTCTTAACTTTGTTGCTCAAGTTCACTACCATGACTTAAGTGTTGGCCTGGAACAGCTTTTCAATGAGTAGCAGGCCAGCTTCCTCCCTTAACACTTTTTGTTGTATTTGAGCCTCTCTCATTTGGTGGCCCAGCTTCATCACTTCCACTGTCTTTTTTATAAGTCCCAGTGCTGCCTTTGTTAGCTTTTCTTGCTTAAAGCATGACTTAGTAAAGAAAAATATGACTACTGAAGCCCTTCCTTTTAAGAAATATGTCTGAGTTTAACACTAGTGTCCATCCTCCGGATGCCTGGTGGGTCCCAGCTCACCTGGATACTGGCTGGGTCGGGTTTGAGTGGCAGTGCGGTCCTAGCAGGTGCTCCAGACTTCAGTGGCACCGTGGTCCTGGTGGGTGCGCTGGACCTCTGCAGCTATGTAAGCCTGGTCAGCCCACTGTCCTGGATAGCGCAGCACTGGCATCAGGACCCCAGGGGCTCTGGTTTCCAATTCGTTGGCGACGATTTTTCCCTCCCACCAGAGGCCGGCTTCAGCACCAGGGATCTCAACTCTTCAGGCTGTTTCAGGAATTGCAGCCTTTGCTTCCCCAGGCTTGGTTCCGCTGTGCTGAGCTCACCCCCTGTCGGCCACCAGTAGTCCTGCTCCCTGTGGTGTTGGATCTTCACCACGGTCTCGGGTGGGGCCCCGTGCCAGCTCAGGACTGGATGCTGCTTCCGAATCCCTTCACTTTTTCCTCTCCAGCAGGTTAGAGGTGGTTAAAGCCTGTTTTCTCCACTCTCACAGCTCACAGTGTGGAATGGAGGCATCTCCCTAGCAAGTTTCCATGGTGACTGGGTGAAGGGGCAGAACCAGCTAAGCTCATGAAAGGGGCTTTGACCCCACTGTGTATGTGCTGGGAACATTTTTTTTTAAACAAAGAAAAAATGTGAAGTTCCTATGTTGGGCTTAGCCCGGTCACCCATTGGCCACAGATAGCATTTCCCGTGATCGTCACACTCCTCAGCCACCCTGGGTCTGCTGGAGAGGACACGGTTTTTTCCAGGGTTAATTAATACACCTTAGGGTCCAGTGACAGACGCCTTTGCCATGCTTGCCCAATCCCGCTGACCCTGCTCCCGCCTCCCACAGGGCCCTTGCGGCCCTTGCGGCACTGGGCGGAGGTGGGTTAAGGCCCAGCACAGTCCCTCTTGGGACCCTAATCTTGCTTCCGCTGCTCGGTGGTTACATACACACTGCTTGTCTGCCCTGCACTCCTTTCCACAGGTGCCCGAACTTGGGGTCCATTGTGTCTTCATCCATCTGGTTTGGCAAAGTATTTGCATTTCTTATTGTCCACAAGCTGATTTTTGTTCATGGCTTCTGTGCAAGCCACTGTTGTCCTCCTTTCTCCTGAGTGCTCCCTCAGCTCATGGACAGGTTGCCCATGGCCCTGTGTGCCAGAGTCGAGACAGGTGCGGATGCTCTGCCACCACCCACCACCTCACCGCACTCGGCAGGTGCCCCGGCCCAGCAGCTGGCTCTGGACCAGGATCTCCAATTCTTCTCCAGACTCTGGCCCCAGCTCCACCCCACTGGGCAGCCAAGTCCCCATCTGCCACCTTGGCCACATCAACACCACAAAAATAACTTTTATGGAATAATTTAGAAAAGCAGTCCCCCTTATACAACTCAAACCAGTCACGGACAACAAAAAAATTCATTTACATATTTTACTCTATTAAGCTGTACTCCTGTATTCCTACAAGGAGGGATTTTTAAGAAACCCTAGAATTTACTTATAAAAATTTATGTATTTATTTTTACATGTTTAAACTTCAGTTGCCTTCAAAGTACTCTCCACTGGATGCAATACACCTATCAAGACATTTTTTCCACTATTCAAAACAGTTTTAGAACTTGTCAATTTTGATGACTCTTAGTGCTTCTGCTGTTTTTGGTTTTGCCTCTTCCACCTTGGTAAAACATTTCCCTTTGAGGAATGTTTCTCTTTTATCCAGGGAAATAAAAAAAAAATGTCATTCAGGGTGAGAATGGGTGAATAGGGAAGTGTGTGGCACGGGGGTCATGCCGTTTTTGGCCAAAAGCACGCTGTGGGCAGGTATGCTCAGAAATCACCCATCATGAAATGGGCAAATGCATTGAGTCTTCAAAACACTTCACTGAAGCCAACTGCAGCCCCTCACAACAGTGCGAGCTGATACACTGACACAGATGGGTTCCTAGAACACCCACCTAGTGGGGGAAGCCTGTACTACAAGGGGCCCACCTGCCAGAAGATAATTTTGCATTTTTTGGGTCCCCTCCTTGTATAAACATCTTAGCTAAGCATATGTGGTTTATTGTGTATTTGTAATGGAAGTTCAAGCATCTGCAGGTAATACCATAAAAGAATTTTTAAAAAATACTAAGATTATTAACCAAATTGTAGATAAGGGAGATATATTACAACTGAGTGTTTTATTGTGGTAAACTACATATAACAAAGTTTATCTCAACTATTTTCAAGTATACAGTTCAGCAGATTTATATTAAATACATTCATGCTACCGTGTAACCGTCACCGCCATCTGTCTTGAGAACTGCTCCGTCTTCACTGTCTCCATCACACCCTAACTCCCCACGCTCCCCTCCCAGCCCCTGGTCACCATCACTCTCCCGTCTCTGTGAATTAACTACTTAAACACCTCGCACATGTGCAACCACACAGTAACTGTCCTTTTGTGACTGGCTTATTCCACTTAATATAATGTCCCTGAGGTTTACCCATGTTGTGGCACATGTCCGAACTTCCTTCCTTTTTAAGGCTGAATAACGTGCCATTGCATAAACATTCCACAGTTTGCTCTCTATCCATCCATCTATAGACACTTGGGGTGCTTTCCCCTTTTGGTTTTTGTGAATAATACTGCTATGAGCATTGGTGTAGAAATATCCACTCAAGTCCTTGCTTTTCATTCTTTTGAAACCGGAGCAGAGAAGTTGGACGAGACTGCCATTCTGTGTTTAGTCTTTGAGAAACCGTCATGCTCTCCACTTCTCTGCATTCTCGCTGACACGTAATTATTTTCTATTTTTGATAGTAGCCATCCCAGTAGGTATGGGGTGTTATCTCACTGTGGTTCTGATGTACGTTTCCCCGATAATTAGTGATGCTGAGTGTCTTTCCATGTACTCATTGGCCAGTTTTAAATCTTCTCTGGAGAAATGTCTATTCACGTCCTCTGCCCATTTTTAAACTTCTATTTTTCTGGTTCTTATCATTGCTGAGCTGGGATAGTCTTTTATATTTTCTGGATATTAATCACCTATCATATGTGTAACTTGCATTTTTCTCCCATTTTTTATGTTGCTTTTTTACCCTCAGTAGGGTTCCAATTTATCATTTTTTTTGTTGCCCAGGATTTTAATGTTATATCCAAGAAATTACTGCCAAATCCAATTTCATGAAGTTTCCCCCTATGAGTTATTATAGCAGTTTTATAGTTTTAGCTCTTATATTTTGGTATTTGATGTATTTTGAATTAATTTTTTATATATGTTACAAGGGTTCAACTTTGTCCTTTCACTTGTGGACAGCTGGTTTTCCCGGCTTGTTGAATAAACTATCCTTTCCCCATTCAACGTCTTAGCATCATTGATGAAAATCATCTGACCACATACGAGCGTGTGTGTGAGGATTTAGTCCTGGGCTCTCATTTCACTGGTCTATGTCTGTCTTTATGTCAGTACCACACTACTTTGATCACTGTACCTTGTAATAAGTTTTATTATCGGTAAGGGTGGGGCCGCCAACTGACCAGCTAAAGACCAAATCTGTTCAATAGAAAATTGGAAAGAATCATGGTCTATCACAGGATCCTAGGTTAGCAGCAATCTTTAAAAAATTGCCTGTAGTGGGCTTATTTCTTTGTAATATCTCTTCAGTAAATCACAGCTTGTTTTTTGTTGGGCCACAGTGCTCCACAATGACATCTTTATAAAATTCATCGGGAGTCTTTGGGTGCTGATAGGATAACCCAGTCCTGTGGCGTCTGAGGCCCACGGTGGCACATGGAAACAAAGTCGAGGAAGCTGGGTTCCAACCCAGCCCCACACCTAAACCTGGCTGTGGCACGTGGACATGATTACTACCTGCTGGGAGGGTAACACGGAGATGGAGGTACTAATATCTGTCGTCTGAAACTTATCAGATTGCAGTAAGAATAAAAGTTTGATTTTCGTGAAAGACAGTAGCGTCTATCAAGAAATTCAACGCTGGGAAAGGGATGGTACCAGAGGTTTGCTGCCAAGGTTGTTGACCTCACTGACTAATGTAAAAGAAGTTTTAAATATATTGTCCTGCCTGCTCAGGTAGACAACACAGTTATTTTTCAACTGAGGAGACAATATATGACACAGGCTTTAGAGTCCGACAGAAATGGATATGAACGCTGGCCTATGCCACTTAGTAGTTTTGTGCCTGCATCTGATTTTGATACTTATCCTCTCAAGTCCAGTGTCCTCATGGATAAAGCATGACAAGTACTCCAGTCAGACCCACTGAGTTGCTGTGAAGGTGAAATTGCTTGTTATGTAATTGCTCCAGGTGCATAGTAAATGTTAGGAAAGCCTTATTTATCAGTGTTAGTTTTAGGAGATGCTGGACTCTGGAACTTTGTAACAGTGGATACCTTCCCACATAAGACAATGGGTTTTGCAGATGTAACAAACTGCACTTACCCTATCTCCAGGTCGCACCATCGGTTCTTGCTTTGTACCTAATTTATGCAGAATGTTGTAAGCAACTTTCATACTTCTCGTCCACAGTTTGCCTATCAACACAAATTGTAAAGACACAAGTAATTGGACACATGTCTTTTCAGCTGTGTATACATGTGCACATTAAACTATACAGCAGGTTTTTACTTTTTCATGTTACACCTTCGAGTAAGTTATCCTGAGTCCCTGGAATCAAGATGGGAAATAAAAGCCATCAACTCTGACTCACAAAAGCTGAGAAGCTTGAACACTGGAACACAGTGTTAATGCAAATACTCTTAGAGTGCAAAGTGCCAACGACAAAGCCATAGAGAATTTTAATTATCATGGAAGTTGTGGGGGAAGACTTCCAGGAAGCAAAGCAGGGCAAAAACCATGGCAATAGTGTGTTACTGCTAATTTATGTTGTGCAAAATGACACATATTTCCAAAATCTGACAAAATTCAACATCCATTTATGATAAAACTGTCAACAAAGTGGGTGCTGGGGAATGTATCTCAATATAATGAAGGGCACATGACAAACAAACATCTACTTAATGGTGAAAAGCTAATAGCCTTTCCTCTAAGATTAGGAAGACAATGCCATTTTTATTCAACAACCCTAAAGATTCCACCAAAAAAACGTGTCAGAATAAATGAATTCAGTGAAGTTTCAAATACAAAATTCAATTCCATTTCTACACATTAATAATGAACTATCAGAAAGAGAAATTAAGAATACAATCCCATGTAAAAAGCATAAAAAAGAATTAAATACTGGGAAATAATATTAACTGACGAGGTGAAAGACATGTACACTAAAAACTATAAGACACTGATGAGAGAAATTGAAGATACAAATAAATGGAAAACTATTCTGTGCTCATGGACTGGAAGAATTAATAAAGGCTCCTTGCAGTACTGTGTTAGCATCAACATCAAAGGAGGGCCCTCCAGCAGCAAAAACATTATGACTTTGCTGAAGGCTCAGATGATGGTTAGCATTTTTAGAAATAAACTATGTAAATTTAAAGTAATTACATTGTTTTTTAAGACAATATTATTGCATACTTAATAGACTCAGTATAGTTTAAACATAACTTTTACATGGAAAAAGTAACATCCATGTGACTCACTTTATTGAGAAGGTCACTTTACTGCAGTGGTTTGGAACTAAACCTGCAGTGTCTCCAAGGTTTGTATGTATTGTTAAAATTTCCATACTACCCAAATCAATCTAGGGACTCAATACAATCCCTATCAAAATTTCAAAAGCATTTTTCACAGAAACAGAACTCTAAAATTTGTATGAAACAATAAAAGACCTCAAATGTCAAAGTCAATGTTGAGAAAATAGAACAAAGATAGAAGTATCTTTGTTCTCTTCCTTTAAACTATATTACAAACTACAGTAACCAAAACAGTGTGGTACTGTCATAAAAATAGACACATAGATCAAGTAAATGGAAAAGACCCCAAAAATAAGCCTACACATATGGTCAATTATTTTATGGCAAAGAAGCCAATAATATACAATGACGAAAAGACAGTATTTTCAACTTATAGTGCTGGGAAATTGGACAGCTGTGTGCAAAAGAAAAACTAGACCACTGTCTTACACCATATACAATAAATTAACTAAAACCCTGACTGGTGTGGCTCAGTTGGTTGGGCATCATCCTGTAAAACAAAAGGTCTCCAGTATGATTCTCAGGGCACATGCCTGAGTTGAGGGTTTGGTCCTCAGTTGGGGCACATACCAATCAATGGTTACCTCTCACATTGTTGTTTCTCTCCTCTATCTCTCCCTAACTTCTCTTTTCTCAAAAAATATAATAAATAAATAAAATATTTTTTTACAATTAACTCAAAATGGAGTAATGATTAGAATGTAAGACCTTACACCACAGAAGTCTTAGAAGAAAACATATAGGCAATAACCTCCTTGACATCTGTCTTGGTGATGATTTTTTGGATTTGGCAACAAAAGCAAAAATAAACAAGTAGGACTACATCAATCTTCTGCACAGCACTGAAAACCAACAAAATAAAAAGGCAATCTATTGTACTAAATGGGAGAAGGAATTCACAAATGATGAGTGATAGTGGGTTAATATCCAAAATACATAAAGAGCTCATACAATTTGACCAACCCCCCACCAAACAAACTCATTTAAAAATGACCACAGGATAGGAATGGACATTTTTCCAAAGACAACATACAAATAAATAATAGGTATATAAAAAGTGCTCAATATCATTAATTATCAGGGAAATGCAAAACAAAAACCACAATGAGCTATCGCTTCACACCTGTTAGAATGGGTATTATGAAAAAGTCAGGAGATAACAAATGCTGGCAAGAATGTGGATAAAAGGGAACCCTTGTGCACTGTTGGTAGGGAGGTACTGGGTTGGCCAAAAGGTTTGTTTGGTTTTTCCCATAAGATGGCTCCAGCAGCATTTAGTTGTCTGTGACTTCATTCAAAACAATTTTGTTAGACTGTATTGTGTTAGGTGTCATATCAGCATGCACATAAAAAACTAATTAAAACTGGTGAATTTTTGGTTAACACTATACATAGCCAAAGGGTTTCCTATCTCTTCTCTACCGGCTGCTACTGTAAATATCATAGAATACTCTCTTGCTGTCTTAAACAATTTTGCCTTCCCCTCCAACTGATCACAAAAAAGAGTAGGTGGAAGTGGTGAACACCAGGATACCCACTGGAAGAGGAAACCCAACAACAAAGGAACCACCAACAGATAACAACAGAAGAAGGTGAAGGAGGGAGTGGAAACTGCACAAACCTCAATCCAGGACCTACCTGGAAATTTAAGTAAATAGTGGAGAAACTACCCAGTACAAACAACTGAACAAGAACAAGAGAGAATCCTCAAAACCTTGTAGACATGGAAGAATCAGCTTCAACACAACCTGCCCTCACCAGCACAACAAAATACAAGACGTGGTGGACAGAGTGACCCTCATTTAAACAGCTGGTGGGAAGGATCCACCAAAGCAAGACACAGCAACAATCAAAACCCAAAGACAAACACAGAGCCAACTTAAATAATAGCCTAAAACCAGTGAGCTTGGGAGATTAAGGAGGCTGCACCACTAAATCTCACAGGTATTCTACCACAGAAGTTCACACCATAAACCCAGGGAACCAGAAGAGATCAATTTAAGAAGCTGAAGCTAACAAGTAGAATCTCACAAACAATGGGAAGACAGAGAAACAATCCCCAAATGAGAGGAAAAGAGGAAGCCTCAGAAAGAATGTCAGATGAAATAGAGGAAGAAGCAAGAAAGAAGAGAATGGCAAGAAATATTCCAAGTAATGAGAACTAGAGGCCTGAAACCAAGGCTACTTTACCCAGCAAGACTCTCAATCAAGATAGATGGCCAAATAAAGAGCTTCCAAGGCAAAAGAAGTCTAAAAGAATGCACCTCCACCAAACGAGCTCTGCAAGAGATGCTAAAAGGACTGCTTTAAGGAAGGTAAAGAGAGACAGAGAGAAACATAGGTACAAAATGGCAATGAATGAGTACCTATCAATAATAACATTAAACGCAAATGGGTTAAATGATCCAATCAAAAGATATAGAATAGCTGAATGGATAGGAAAGCATGACCCACACATATGCTGCCTACAGGAGACCCACCTCAGGACAAAAGACCATCACAGACTAAAAGTGAAGGGCTGAAAATAAATATTCCAAGCAAGCAGAGAGGAAAAAAGGCCAGGGTAGCAATACTCATATCAGACAAAACAGACTTCAAAAAAAGGGCCACAAAGAGAAACCCAGAAGGTCACTTCATTATACTCAAGGGAAGAATCCACCAAGAAGACATTAACATCATAAATATATATGTACCCAACATAGGAGCACCAAAATATATCCAAAAAATCTTAGAGGACTTCAAGAGATATTGACAGCAACGCAATTATAGTAGGGGATTTTAACACCCTATTGTCAAAAATGGACAGATCTTCCAAACAAAATATCAACGAAGATATTATGGCAATAAACAATGCCCTAGATGAAATGGACTTAACTGATATACATAGAGCCCTTCATCCCCAAAAAGCTAAATACACATTCTTTTCAAATGTACATGGAACACTTTCAAAGATAGACCACATGATAGGACACAAAACGAGCCTCAAAAAATTCAAGAAAATTAAAATCATACCAAGTATTTTCTTCAACCACAAGGGACTGAAACTGGAAACCAACCCCAAAGGAAAAAACCCAAAACACTCAAAATCAGAGATTGAATAGCATGCTATTAAACAATGAATGGGTCAAGAATGAAATTAGGAAAGAAATCAAAAAGTTTCTGGGGGCAAATGAAAATGAACTCACAACAACCCAAAACTTGGGCACAGCAGAGGCAGTCCTGAGAGGAAAGTTCATAGCAATATAGGCCTACCTAAAAAAAGATAGAAACATTTCAAACAAACAACCTAACCCTACGCCCACAAGAACTCAAGGAACAACAACAAAGACAGCCCAGAGCAAGTAGAAGGAACAAAATAACCAAGATCAGAGAATAATTAAATGACATAGAGACGAAAAGCACAATTCTAAGGATCAATGAATCCAGTAGTTTGTTCTTTTAAAAGATAAGCAAAATCGACAAGCCTTTAAGCAGGCTCATCAAGAAAAAAGAGAGGGAACCCAAATAAACACAATCAGAAATGAAAGAAGAGAGATTACAACTGATACCACAGAAATACAAGGGATTGTAAGAAATTACTATGAAGAACTGTATGCCAAGAAATTTGAAAACCTAGGTGAAATGGACAAATTTCTAGAAAAATATAATCTTCCAAAACTCAATGAAGAAGCAGAAAGCCTGAACAGACCAATAACAGCAAATGGAATTGAACCAGTAATCAAAAAATTGCTGACACACAAAAGCTCGGGACCAGATGGTTTCACAGGAGAATTCTACAAAGCATTTAAGGAAGAGCTAACCCCTATCCTTCACAGACTATTCCAAAAAATCCAAAATGATGGAAGACTCCCAAACTTTTTTTATGAAACCAGCATCATCCT